ATGCAGTTACTTTTCCACATTTCCAAACAGCTGGGAAGACGGAGGTTGCTAATGAGCGGTTGTAAAGTTTAGTCAAACTTGTTGTGATAACGTCAGCGCAGTCCTTTAGCAATCTGGCACTGATGTTGTCCAAACCAATCGCTTTGTTTGTTTTAAGACTGTTTAGTTTGGCTTTAACAAAACACTCATCGATTACATCAAAAGCAAACATTACGCCAGATTCAAGATGGTCTTTACAAACGGCAGCGGTGATGGTAGACGTAACTGTGCGAAATTTATTAACGAGTTGTTAAACCAATAGTCGAAAAATGGTTATTGAGAATTTTGGAGATTTGCCTGGGTTCGGTAGATGGAGTTCCATCGACTTCAATACATGAAATGTTCGAGCTCGATTTACGTGAAGTAATTTCATTGAGGTGTTTCCAGAGAGTTTTGGGATTAGTTTTAGAGATTTCAATAAGATTAAGGTAGTACCCCGATTTACTCTTTTTGACTTGTCTATTTACGTGGGATTTCAAACTTTTGAATTTGGACCAGTCAGAAGGATAATTAGATTTGGTAGCTTTACGGAAAGAGCGGTCGCGTTCCTGCATAGATGTTTTCAACTCGGATGTCATCCAAGAAACATGAAACATTTGACAGTCTGGAAGCAACAAATGAACTACTTTGGAAGGATAATATTGAACTGAATAGCTTATCCAAAAAGCAAAAACAAATTGAGAAAAACGTTAGTAACACCATTGACCAAAATAATAAACTCAAGAAAAATAATGAAGGGAACTTTACCCCTCAAACATAAGAATATCCCCAATATTTCACGTCAACTGAAAATGTTATACCCAACATCTCTACCCACAACATTTTTTCTCCCCTTAACGAGGAAAATCCCAACCATGACATCTCTATATTTAAAATATATCACAAAGTTTGCAAGGTGAAACCAAGAAGGCCTCACCCAAAACATTAGACGCAGAAACAGTCATCCTATGTAACTCAAATGAGAGAAAACTCGATCCCAAACTGCTCTTCCCAAATTCATCCACCGAATACCTAAAATGTCGAACTCTAGAATCAGCAAATCAACTCATAAACCAACATGAATTCAAACAAACCAAGACATTCATTGTTCATGTTGGTACAAATGACATTGAAAAGCTCCCAATTAACAAAGTCACAGACCAGACAAAATCTCTTCTTACCACAATTGGAAACAAAAATCCTGAGGCACGGATCCTGCTATCAAATCTCCTCCCTGGTAGTGATGAACTCCTCCAAAAAGCACAGAACCTGAACAGAAACTTCCTCCAAATCCCTACCGAATTTAAAATGTTACCAACATTGAACATACAAACTTGTTGCAGTCGACATCAATCTTGTATGACAAAAAACACCTTAACGACAAAGGCATCAAGATATTTGCAAAGAACCTAAAGAGTGCATTCTTTGGAACACAGAAGACCCATCGCCACATCAAAACCAAACCACTGTTCGACCCAGATCCAAATAAACAATTCCTCCCAAATCCACTACTCCACTCAAATCCACTACTCCACTCAAATCCAGTACTTCACCCAAGTCCAGTACTCCACCCAAGTCCACTACTCCACCCAAATCCATTCCCCCCTTCCCCTTCACACTTCCCCAATACTACAATACTACAATACTCAACCATTCCAAAACTACGACACGACCATCACTTCCCACCAATGGAAAGAAATACAAGTTCGAACAGCCAAAAAATATCATCAGAAGATGCCAAAAATCAAAAGATCACAGAAATTGCAAAGCTCCTCTATGGTCTCTTCCAATGAAATAAAAAAGGTTGTAAGTAACAAAACACACTTTTCTTAATATATATAGATTTGTAAATGTAAAATCTCTAGCACAGAATATCTGTCATAGGTCGGTCACCTTCTCCAATCTTTTCCTAAAATCCAAATTGACCAACATTTATTCAAATGTACTCCAGGCTATCATTTAGTGCTTGGAATATAAATGGCCTGAAACATAACACTATCGGTAACAAGCTTACCAATGGCGATTTTATACAAAATATTAAAGATCATGACATAATCTTCTTGACTGAAACATGGTCCAAAGAGACAAACAGCATTCCTGGTTTCAAGGCAGTATCTACCATTACGGCAACTCCCAGATCTAATCGTAGTTGCCGTTTGTCTGGTGGAATTTCAGTCTTGTTTAAAAAAGAATTAGGAACCTTTCTCTCAATTGAAAAACAAACAAAAAATTTCTTGTGGTGTCGAATAGATTTAATTTTAATTTAATTTTTAATTTATAAACTTTGCCGATGAAACAGTACATTACATGACAGAACAAAAACAAACGTACATAATGAAATACAGTAGGTTCATGACAACGGCTGGATGACCGCAACAGCGAATAGCCAATTACTGCGGGCCCGACATATACTCTTAAATGTACATCTCAGACATATATTCTTAAATGTTCGAGAGATTTCAGGATCATAATTAATGTTCAGTGATGTAAAGTAATACTTGAGCAAATCTGATTTAAATACAGAAGTGCTAGTATCCTTAGTGAGGTTCAGTTCATCTGCAAGATAATTCCAAACTCGGCACGCTCTTACGAGGAAAGATTTTTGGTAGGTGGTAGTTCTGCATTTAGGGATGATATATTTCAGTTTGTTTGATGAGGTTGATCGGGTTGCTCTACGAGTGGCGAAGATAGCTGGCGACACTTGGAGATTTAGCGTTACTACACCATGTGTGATTTTGAAAAACATGATGAGGTCCAAGTATTCGTGCCAATAGCTTACTGGAAGAAGATTTAAAGACCGTAACCTCGATTTATAGTCAACAGCTGTGCTAAACGGTAGATTTAAGATGTATTTAGTAGCACATCTTTGTGTTCTTTCGAGTTTACTTATAAGTTCCTCTGACTGTGGTGACCAAACCTGTGTTATGTAGCCGAAGTGCGACCTAACCAATGCCAGGTATAACGCTCGTCTGGCTGCAGTATTTCGAATAAACAAGGTGTTCCTGCTAACATATCCCAGAATCTTATTCGCTTTCGCTGTCTGCTCGTTCACATGTTTTTTTCTACGTTAAATCTGATGACAGCCACACGCCAAAGTCTCTTTCGTTGTCAGTAATGGATATGATTGAGTTGTCCAACTTGTACGAGGAAGCAACTGGTGCTTTTTCCGCGTTAGCGTTTAATGTTTGCACTTGGATTGGTTGAATGATAGCCCAGATACCGTTGACCAATGTTCCAGGGCTCCAAGATTAGTTTGTAGAGAGGTAACATCGTTCTGTGATTGAATTGCGGAGAATATCTTGGTGTTATCGGAAAACATTGGAGCTCGACTGGACGTGGATGCTTCGAGTAGGTCATTCACGTAAAGAAGAAACAGTGCACGACCGAGTATTGACCCCTGTGGAACGCCTGAACAAACTGGTAGAGACTTCGATGTTACACCAAGTACAGTAACACGTTGACGACGGTCAGTCAAGTACGATTGGAACCATTTTAGCAGGTTACCGCCAACACCCGAATTTGCTAAATTCTGCGTCAATCGCTTATGGTTGATTCGGTCAAACGCTTTTGACATGTCATTATTATTATTATTTTATTTATTATTTAATCTTATTTAATCACGGTAGCCTTTCAGAAGTACATCTGTTTTTCAAAGGGCCGTGAGTTCATTAAAATATTTACATAATTGGAGAGAAAAAAAAAAGAAAAAAAAGGAAATCTAAAAGCGAGAAAAACAGGCCACTTACATAAACTATTTACATGGATGCAATTAATTACACTATAGATTAGGACCAATGGATTAGGTGTCAAGGTATATCATATCTACCTGCCCTCCCTTGTCCAGACAGGCGCCGATGTAATCTACAATTCTAAACCAATCGAATCGTACAATTCTAAACCAAACAAAAGATCCATTTGTTTGTGAAGTTTACATACCGCCAGAAATGTATCCATACTTTGATGATGAAATATTTGAAGAACTGGAAAACGACATTTTGAATTTCTCCAAAAAGGAAACATAATGCTGTTAGAGGACTTTAATGCCCGTACCAGCAATCTGAAAGATTTTGTATCAAAAGAAGGTAACACTTTCATAAATGACATCTCTGAAACATCTTTTGAACCAAAAACCAGAGAAAGTTTTGATAACTCTACTAACCAGCATGGTAAAAGTCTTGTTGAAATTTTCAAAAATTGCAACATGAGAATTCTGAATGGAAGAACTCTTGGTGACTCGTTTGGTAAACTCACTTCCCATCACAAAAATGGAACTAGTGTAGTTGACTATATAATCTGTGACCAAGAGCTTACACAAACCATCGAAAATTTTATTGTCAAACCACCAACCTCCTTATCTGACCACAGTCAAATTGTGACGTGGATCAGAACAAAGCAACATATTAACTCAACTAGCAACATATGAACATAACTCCGACTCCCACATCTACTACTCATAAACTCCCTTACATGGGAAAATAATTCGCCTATCTCATTCACTGAAGCTTTAAAATCAGTCGAAATCCAACAGAAACTGGAAAGTTTAGTCAACTATGTCATGACACTCCCCTCACAAAGGAAGAAGTTAACACATTCGCTTCCAGAATGGAAGATATTATTTTGCATGCCGGAAAGAGTTCCCTCCAAATAAAAAAGACCAAATTCAGAAACAAAATATCTAATGTCTGTAATAAGAAATGGTTTGATAAAGAATGTCGTTTAAAAAGACATTCAGTTCGGAAACTTGCCAACCAAAAACACCGTGATCTCCTGAATAACGACATAAGAAACGAATACCATCTTGCCCTCAAAATTTACAAAAACACGTTAAAACGTAAAAAAAGAACTTTTTCATGAAAAAAACAACTAGAAGAACTAGAAAGAGTGTCTGAAAATGACCCAAACTCCTTCTGGAAAGTACTTAAGAACATGAGTGATGAACTCGAAGACTTTTCCTTTAACAAGCCGAATGTTACAGCCAGCAGTTGGCTAAATCATTTTGAATCTCTGCACACAAAACACTTAATAGGCCCTGAAGAGATTAATATCTTACAAAGGCTTAAATCTCTTGAAATGGAACCCACAAATAATTTACTCGATGAACCTATTTCAGAATACGAAATTATCAACGCTGCGAAGAAATTAAAAAACAACAAATCCGCATACTCTGATAAAATAAGAAACGAAATGCTCAAATACAGTACAAACATATTGTTACAAGGATACAAAAAACTTTTTAACCTCATACTAGAAACTGGTAGCTTCCCAGATCAATGGTGTGAAGGTCTGATTACGCCAATCTTTAAGTCTGGAGATAAAACTAACGCCAACATAGTGTGACAAGCTGTTTGAGCAATTTCTTCTGTATTATACTTAATGACCGCCTAAGCAATTTTAGTTACCAACAAAGTTTAATACATCCATCGCAAATTGGATTTCAGTGAGGCCACTGAATTGCAGACCATATTTTTACTTTGAAAACACTAATTGACAAACAAGTGGAACAAAACAAAGGTAACATTTATGCATGTTTCGTGGATTTTAAAAAAGCCTTTGACTCTATTTGGCACGAAGGCCTTTTTTTGAAATTACTTGAAAATAAAATTGATGGTCAGTTTTACAGTCTTATAAAGAGTCGTTATTATAACTCAAAATGTGTAATCAAACAAAACAACATCAGAACCGATTTTTTCACTTATTATAAAGGTGTACGTCAAGGATGTATACTAAGCCCCCTTCTTTTCAATATTTATATAATGAAATAACGACCTTATTTAAAAACACAAATTCGGACCCATTTATACTGCCTAACGGAACAGAACTGAGCTGTCTTCTTTACGCAGATGATCTAATTATACTATCTAAATCAAAATTCGGCCTCCAGAAGTGTCTGGATAAACTCCATAGCTGGAGTAAGAAGTGGCTAATGGAGGTAAACCTAAAGAAAAGCCAAATTATGATTTTTGAAAAAAGGAAAACAAAAAAAGCGAAACCAATTTTCACACTAGGGAATGAAAAGATATTCGTTGTACAGGAATACTGTTACCTAGGCATAAAGCTTAATCACAATGGTAGTTTTTCCTTGGCTATCATACAGCTGAGTGAAAAAGCCCTGCATGCGCTCTATAGCATCAGAAGACGGCTCAACCTACACCAACTTAACCCCAAATCTGCTATTAAAATTTTCGACAGCATAATTATCCCCATTCTTCTGTACAATGCAGAAGTTTGGGTGTATATATCAAAAACGATTTTATCAATTGGGATAAACTGCCGGTTGAAAAAGTACACCTAAAATTCTGTAAGCTCTACTTGGGCGTTGGCAAAAAGACGAGTAATATCGCCTCAAGAAGCGAACTTGGAAAATATCCATTAATTATCAATGTATTCAAAAGAATCTTCAAGTACGTCACTCATCTTAACTCACTTCCTGAAACAACCATTTCAAAACAAGATTTCCTCATATCAAAAGATTTATTTATTAAAAAGAGCAATTCTTTCTATGGAAAAGCAATGGATATAGTGAAAACCTTAAATTGTAATAGAGCAATCCCAGACCTAGATTCACATACAACCAATCTAGTTGAATCATGCGTTAAAGATACTAAAGAAAACTACCAGAGATTCTGGAGACATAAACTTGAAAACTCATCCAAACTTACATTCTACACAAGCATAAAGGAAGACTATGAGCTTGAAACTTATTTGACTACCATAACTAATTCAAACCAATTAACTATTATAATTAACTAATAAGCTTTAGCAATACTTGTATGTGAAGTCATGCTAATAAAGCCATTTGTTACTGTTACTGTAACAAAAAAATTGGTATTGAGCACTGTTTGTGTTTCGTAAACCAAAATCTTAAGCTATATATATATATATATATATATATATATATATATATATATATATATATATATATATATATATATATATATATATATAATTCAGTCAAGGTTTGAATGTTTGCGTCGCTACTCTGAGTTTCACGCTTTACGCGATCATCAGGCAACTGACAGATATTAAATAATAATATAATAATATCTGTCAGTTGCCTGATGATCGCGTAAAGCGTGAAACACAGAGTAGCGACGCAAACATTAAAACCTTGACTGAATTAATTCCGCTCTACTTATTATGGTATTGAGCGCTCTTCTACCTTACGTCAACTCATCGACTATTTTTTTGAAAATAGTCTTCAGTATATAT